CAAAGTCACTAAAAATGACCCTGAGGGAGCCCCAACTGACCTTAACAATGAAAAGAAAAATGAATAAGTTTTGGCTACCTACAAAGTCTTAACCAGCCAGCAGGAAAGTACAGCAAGAGTCAAATAACTAGAGAAAATAGAAAATAAAAGAGATGACTGGATTTGAAAAGGACAAGTCAGGCCTCCAGGCCTCCATGGGCTACGGACACACCAGGGAGGGCTCTCAGAGCAAAGGGCTCTCAGCTTTCCCTGGCCGTAAACAAAACGCTGTTTGTGCATCCCGATAATTCTGCAAAGTGGTTTATAGGCTTTACACAAATCAGTCCACAAAGACAATGCCCAGATTTCTGTGGCCAAAATGAGTTCTGCCTGCTTTAATCTTGGTAATGATCCCGTTCATCCCAGGAGCTACACTACTGTACCTCCTGTCTTTTCACAATGGATCCACCCTGTGATGGGCTTTCTTCTGTCTGGCTCCCTAGGATTACCTCAAGGGCCTGAAGGTCAGCAAGTGTGGGGATGCTGAGCCCTTCGGTGCCTTCATTTTAGATGGAAGAAACCCAGACGCACCATCCACCCATGTCCTAAATATTAGGTCTCAATTCTTGAGGGGCAAATATTAGGTAGCTAACCAGGCATTAACAAGCTTGGCAGCCACTGAGAATAGAACTCTCCCATAGATGAGGAGGTCTGAGGACTTCGCTGAGGCCCATTAAGGGAGAGCTCCTTTCTCAGTCATAAAATGGAATCTAAATCCTATCTACAGCCTTGGGAAACATGGCATTCTTCCCCCACCCCACCTTTCCTCTCGTCCCCCTCCAGAGACAGGGTTTCTCTGTTTAACAGCCCTGGCTGTCCTGGAACTTCCCCTGTAGACCAGGCTTGCCTCAAACTCACAGAGATCCACCTGCTTCTGCCTCTCGAGTGCAGAAGGTGCGAGTGTGCACCACCACGCCCAACTTCACTCTAATCAGTCCCAAGGATTATAATAATATTACACACTATTGTCCTCTCCCTTAAAATTAACCCAACTGGGCCTGTCAATCGTCTGGCCCAGGGACCAACCTGAAGGGAAGTAGACACACCTGGCACACGATGAAGTCATAAGAGGGAATAATTATGCCCTTAACGAGATCATTACCCCTGAAAAGTAACCCGCACCCCAAGTTACATATCTCCACCTCTGAGCCTCATAATTTTCTGAGTCCTCACTCAAGATATGTAAGCTTTAATTTCATCTCTTTTTGGTCTTCCTAGGACTCCAGATTAAATCCTAAGCACATCTGTGCTGATCCTCCAGGTATTCTGTTTCCCTGATAATAACACACACGTGCACACACACTCCAAAGCCTGCCCTTAGACCTCAACTCAAGGCCTTTCTCTCTCTCTCTCTCCCTCTCTCTCCCTCTCTCTCCCTCTCTCTCCCTCTCTCTCCCCCAACCCCCGTCCCTGCTGCCTATCTTGCCATTTTCTTCAAGCTCTAAAACAGTCCTCAAGCTTTAAAAAAAAAACAAAAAGAAAGAAAGAAAGAAAGAAAGAAAGAAAGAAAGAAAGAAAGGAAGGAAGGAAGGAAGGAAGGAAACCATCAAACCTTCACTGAACTGTGTTTGGTCAGATTCAGTCGAGCACACCTGTGATTTTAACACCCAGGAAGCTGCGACAGGTAATGTGAAGTATCTGAGCCAACACCAGTCTGCCCTACAAAGCAAGACCCTATCTCAAAACAAACTGCAACTCACAGGGGCTAGAGCTCCAAGAAGTCCCTAAAACTGACCAGATTCACTAGGCCCCTCCCTGCAGAAGCAAGCAATAAAAGCTGAGAGTGCCCCTCAGACTGATGGAAGCTGGGCTGCACAGAAGTCTCTGAGACCAGACCAGCTGCCTGGAAGAAACAGAAGCTAGCTGAGCTGCCCAGACCAGGTTTAGACCAGTTACTTGGAAAGGACACCTATTGAGTTATCTTCAGGCTATGACATGTGCTCAAGGTTCCCAGCTTTTGTGACTTGTCACCTGTGCTTTGATGATGCAGCTGTCCATGAGTCATGTATGCTCCTGTAAGTGACCCCTCACCCATATTCCCATAAATAACAAAACGCTCAGTGGCCCACGAAGCTTCACTTCATTGGTATCCACACTTCGTTTGGTCTGTCATGGACTCCCTATCCAGGTGAGTAGACGGGTGTGCTGCATCCCCCTGGCAAAAGTTTTGTCACACAAGGCCTCAGCCATTTCACAGAAAATGACCAGCCTGGACCAAACACAAGGACTGTCCATCTAAACCCTTCCAACTCATTAAACCAAAAATGCTTATGGTTTGTGGTTTTTAGCGTGTGTAAATTAGAGTGTAATTAAAAATTAGTAACTAAAGTGTAAGGACCCAAAATAATTAGAAAGCATATTCACTTCAAACAAAACATTTATACCTGAACTGCACCGGTTTAAATGCTCAGCCCCTACCCAATGCATCCTCCCTTCTGCTCTCCCCAGCCCTTCCCCTGGAGCCATGGCATCTGTTCCTTAGAGGTTTTCTAACCATGGTGGAGATGGCTGCAAATAGAAAGCGAGCAGCTGGGTGGTGGTGGCGCACGCCTTTAATCCCAGCACTTGGGAGGCTGAAGCAGGCAAATCTCTGAGTTCGAGGCCAGCTACAGAGTAAGTTCAAGGACAACCAAGGCTACACAGAAAAACCCTGACTCATACCAAACAAACAAACAAACAAACAGAAAGCACACAAAGCCTTAGAGACTGGCTGGAATGTATTCCAATCTCAGATTCGATCTAATCCCTGAGTGCCCATAAACCAGTGACTTAGCTTCTCCTAACTTTGATTTCCTTCTCTGTAAATCTGGCCAACAGTGCCAAGCTTATCTGTTAGGCTAAGCAACCTGGGAGACCCATGTATACTAAAAGTCTCCTTAAGACCCAGAAGCGCACAGGAATAAGACTTATGGTCAGCCTCTAGCACAGAAGTGTCAGAAAACCGGGAAATGGCTGCTCAGAGCCAGTATGGCCAAAGACAAGGTGGCCAGTCCTGCTCTGTGACTCAGAACACTTCCTGTAAAGTTTAGCCACTGGGAGCCATTGACAGCAACCAATTGATCTTCTCCTGCCTCCTGATCTCAGGCATTCCACTGAAAACTGGCCCTAACCCCAGGGAATGGGGATAAGAGGCCTCCCCAGAACATCCTCTGGGGAGTTCCTATCACAGAGAAAACTGAAGTGAGAGAGTTGGTTCTATGTAGAAGATCGGAGGAGCAGGCGCCGGGGCCTCCAGGTACCCCTCCTAGACCATTTCGGCCTGAGCCAATACTCAAGGCCTCTGGAACCAGGTAATCCAGCCCTTCACTGAGTCACCGGACACCTGTTACTTGCAAAAGATAGCTTGGACTCGCATTCGGCTCCCATCTGGAAGAAGCAACTACTCCCAAAAATAACTGTAAGGAAGGTAGTAAGCACTGTCAAAAGGCAGACTCCCATAGCCCCGATAACCCAACCCCTGGACACCCCGAGCCATGGCGAGCCCCCTCGCCTTTGCCTACCCAGAGTCTGAGAATGAAGTCTTCAGTAGAATCGGTATTTCTCATTCCAAGAAGAGTCTACAAGGGATGGTGTCACCCAGCTAAGAAAAGGCAAGACTAGGGCTCCACCCATAATCCCCAGCCTCCTGAGACACACCTATCTATCTCCGGGCAAATGAAAAAGGCAGTTAGAACTGTTCTAGGGCCGATAGTGCCCACCAAAAGGAAAACCACAAAATAAGGTCCCTGGGTTGTGGGTCCTTCCTGGGGAAGTAGCTAGTGGCGCTGACATCCCCGCCCTCCTAGCCTCGTCCAGGCCCCCGCAGCAAGGAAGACAGCAGTCTCTCCAGTCTCTCTGTCCTCCCTCCTCCGAGCCCCCAGCCCTGACATTATTTCCCGCTTTGCTGTTTCTTGGATGATTTTCAAGAGTTTGTGCAATCGCATATGTATGAAAATGTCATAATGAAACACAGTACTTTGCATGCTAACATAAAATAAATATAAAATAATGAAACGTGTGTGCATGTGTGTTCTGTTGAGCAGTTCTCCTGCCATCTTCAAATGCTGGATGGTGTCTCTTTGCTTTGGGAACGAAGTGGCTTGAAAAGTTGAGATTGCCTCCCATCACCCAACACTGCAAAGTTAGTGCCTGAGACTTTGCCCATGCTTGATTTTGGCTTGGTCCTTCCTTCGCTGTTAAGAGTCTGTGTATCACTCAAATTCCGGTGTCCCTCACTTTACCCCTACCTGGACCCCTTTTCCATCTTGTCCGGAAGAAGAGCCACCCCGCCCTGTCCTGTCCTACAGCTGGAAAAGATGTCTCCTGCTTTTCGACTCACCGGTTAGTACCGGCGGTCTCGATACCTGCCCTGCCCTTCTCTGCCCTTCCCTGCCGTGCCCTGCCCTGCCCTGACCAGCTTTTCTACTCGGATACCGAGGGAAGGGGGTGGGCGACCCCGGTAAGCAGACCAGCAGGCCCTGGTCTGGAAGGCTGAACAGATGCAGCGACACCATTCAGGGTGGGACAGAACCTGGAGTTCAGAAGTGGATACAGAGGAAATGTTCAAGTGAACGGGACAAAAGCAAGGACCGGGTTGGGCTGGGCCGGAGCAGCGGCGCTCCCGCTCGCCCACACCTCCTCCCCACGCGCGTGGCTCGTAGCTTCGGTGTCAGACGCCCGGCGGGACCCACCTGATCCGCAGAACTAGGCCGGGCGGGTGCGGTCCGCCACGCTGGGGACCGGACCACACGGGCGGGCGGCGCCCTGCGCTGCAGGAGACCCGGTTGCTGCTCCGCCGCGGTGCGCGCCTCCCGCCCCTGCCGGCGCCTCCTCCGGGCAGCGCGCGGCGGCCTAGGGCACCGGCTATGGCGTGCACCGACCCGGGAGTGGGAGCCTAGCCGGTCCCCGCCCTCCCCCACCCAGACACAGCGCCCGGCACGATGCACGTGTGATGCATCGGGTGTCCCTCACTTTACCCTTACCTGCACCCTTTTGCCATCTGTGGGAGGAGTGAGGTTGTTTCATCTCCACTCAAGCAGAAAAAAACCTGAAACCAGGAAGAAAAAAAAACCGATCACGGCCGCCTGTGTCTTCTGACCTGCACGTGGTGATGGGGTCTTGGAGGAGGAACTGCGGTGGTTACTGGGTGATGGGGTGGGGACCGACACCCTATACAATGAGGAAAGGCTTCATGGACACTGGCTTACAGCCAGACACCTGGAAGTGTGGAAGGTCTTCCCCCACCGCGTGTTTCTCAGGGAAGAAAAGAGAAAGGGCCACAGGCTACAGGCTAAGGACTGCCCATGGATGGTTACTAGGAGGCTAGGTCTTCCAGTCCTCAGCTCTGAGGTGAAAAGCTGGCCAAAACGCATGTAGACCATAGCTTGCTCGGGTGTCTTCTGACGGAGTTATATAGAGCCACTACGAACTTCTGTAATTATTTAGAAAGGAGCCCAAAACAATTGTGGCAGTTTGTACCTCTACGCCCAACAAGCACATCTGCCCTCCTCTGGTTTGTTCCACCGTCAGGCTCAGTTGGATCTGTTTTATCCTCAGAAAAAGGAATAATTTTGCTTTTGCTAGAACATTCACCATTGGACATAGTTTTAAAAAAAAAAAAAGATTTTTTTTAGTTTTTGTTTGTTTTATAAATATGGGTGTTTTGCATGCAGGTATGTGTATGTATATATACAACGTGTGTGCCTGGGTGTCCCAGGAGTTCAAAAGAAGATATTTGAATCTCCTAGATCTGGAATTCAATATCGTTTGGGCCACCTTGTGGGCGTGGGAACAGAACCCAGGTCCTCTATGTAAGCCCTTGGAGGCTTATGAGTAGCCAGGCCCCTCCCCTGAGCCAGGTTCCGCCCACAGACCACTCTCACTTCCCTAATGGTTGGCCAGACCCAGCTCGCTGCCCCTCCTCGTCCCCTCCCCGCCCCTCTCAGCCCCCCACCCCCACCCGCTCGCCAGCCATTCAGAGTAAAATGCCCTAACTATGGAAAACTCCGCCCCAAGAAATGCTGTGTCAACCCTGTTTTCAGCTTCCGTCTCTGCTGCTTCTCCTATAAGCCGCCTTCCTGGGTTCTTGTTTTGCTCCGCCAGAGCAGAGTTGTAACACTTGCAGTGGGGGAAACATTCCCCCCACCCTGGAGGAAGCTGTAACACTAGCAACGCTATTCCCCTCAGAGATGTAACACTTAGCATTCTACAAGAGCAAGTGCTCTTTAACACTGAGCCATCTCTCCGGCCCTTGAACATCATTTTCACAGACTAAGAAACTTATTAAAGTTTACTACAGCCAAGCTGTAACTTGATGTCGCGAAGATAGCACACACTGTTGAGGGTCCTTTGCCAAAGGAAAGGGAACACAAGGCTAGACTCCTGAGGTATGCACAGAGCCTACTTGCTCACCAAGTACTGCTGCAGGACTTGGGAAAGCCCAGTGGAGTAAAGCAGCGGCAGAATGGAATCATGGGCCCCACACAACCGCTCAGGAATGAGGAGCCCATGCAGCTGCACTGGCTAGTTTTTTTGCCAGTTTGACACAAGCTAAAATCATCTGTAAGGAGGAAACCTCAATTAAGAAAATAGCTCGATAAGATCCAGTGTAGGGCGTTTTCTTTAATTAGTGACTGATGTGGGAGGGCCCAGCCCATTGTGGATGGGGCCACCCCTATGCTGGTGGTCCTGGGTTCTATAAGAAAGCAGGTTGAGCAGCCCTTAAGAAGCAAGCTGGTAAGCAGCACCTTTCCATGGCTTCCGCATCAGCTCTCACCTCCAGGTTCCAACCCTGCTCGAGTTCCTGTCCTGACTTCCTTCAGTGCTGTGGAAGTGTAAGCCAAAGAAACCCTTTTCTCCGCAGCTTGCGGCTTGGTGTTTTATTATAACCCTGACGAGAACAGCAGCCATTACAATGGGCCCTTTGCTAAAGATAATCCTAGCATTGTCCTGCCGATGTGCTCACAGGAGCTCGGTAGTAACCATGGTTAAACAGTAAGCTGAGGTACCCAGTGCGTTATTTCCACTTCTCCTTACCACAAGAGAACATGCTGTCAGTTACACAGGATAAGATTTTGTTGTTGTTGTTTGTTTTCTTATTAAAATAATATTTTCGCCGGGCAGTGGTGGCGCACGCCTTTAATCCCAGCACTTGGGAGGCAGAGACAGGCAGATTTCTAAGTTCGAGGGCAGCCTGATCTGCAGAGTGAGTTCCAGGACAGCCAGGGCTACACAGAGAAACCCTGTCTCGAAAAAACCAAAAATAAATAAATAAATAAAAAGTAAAAATATATATATATTCATCCACTTCGCTGATCATGGTTTGCCCTCTCCATGTCTTCCCTACCAAAGCTTTTTAGTTTGTTTGAGAATATGTTGCTTAGCACTGGTTGGCTTTGAACTTGTTGCATAGCTATGGTTGACCCTGAACTTCCACCTCCCATGTATTTAGAATTACAGGGGAGCTCCACTACACCCTGCTTGGGGAGTGGGGATTGGGGAGAGGTTGAGGAGCAGACATAGTGCTGCATTCTATAATCCCAGCATTCAAGAGACAGAGGTGGGAGATTGCCTAAAACTCAAAACTTAGCCCAGTCTTTGTAGCTAGGGACTCTGCTCAAGACAGGAAAACAAGAGCTGGCCAGATAGCTCAGTGAGTAAGTTTGCTTGCTACTAAGCCTGAGTACCTGAGTTCAATCCCCAGAACTCATACGGTAGACGGAGAGAACTTACTCTACTGAGTTGTCCTCTGACTCCACACATGAGCTCCCTTCTGCTGACACTAAATAACTCACTGTTGGAGAAAACAAGGATAGTTCTACCAGAAATGACAGAGTCCCAAAGGAGACATATTACTAACGAAACTAAAGTCCAGTCCTGGGCTCTTAGTCTCATTAATAAAAATAATTTAAGAATGGACTCAAAAGGAAACTCGAAGACAACTTTATTAGAGTTTAAAAAACAAAAAGAAAGAAACAAAAGCAGAAACAAAAAAATCCAGGACAGGAGTCTTATAGTTGCTGTTCTGTTGCTGTGAAGAGACACCCTGACCAAGGCAAGTCTTAAAAAAAAAAAGAAGAAAGAAAGAAAGAAAGAAAGAAAGAAAGAAAGAAAGAAAGAAAGAAAGAAAGCATTTAATTGGGGGCTTGCTTACAGTTTCAGAGAGTTAGTCCGTCATGGTCAGGAGCATGGTTGCATGCATGGTGCTGGAGCAGTGACTGAAAGCTAGGTGCTGATCTGGATGGAAGGAGGGAGAGAGAGAGGAAGACAGAGACTGAGAGACTCTAGGTCTGACGTGGGCTTTGAACCCTAGAAACCCACCCCTTGTGATACACTTCCTCTAACAAAGCCACTACTGTTCTAACATTCTAACCTAACAGAGTTCCAATCCCTGGTGACTAAACATTCAAATATGCAAGCCTGCAGGAGGGGGAGGGGCATTTTATTCAAACCACAAGAGAAAACCTGTGAGTCTCAGCAGCTACCTAGGTGAAGAAAAGGTGAAAGACAGGATATCTGTCTCCTGCAGGTGGGATGGGATGGAGTTTAGCCACATGGCAGACAGTTACACAGCAAGGAGGGAACTTTAAGAAAAGCAAAGCCCGAAGCACTAGGGGAAACCGGTTCAGAAAACAGAGGAAAAGGAAGTCACTAAATTCTGAGTAATTGAAGACATGTCCAGACTTCACAATGGCTGCCTATCTGCAGCTCTGTAAGGAGTTGAGCTAGTGGGGAGGAATTCTGGGTAAGAAAAGTACACTATCTCATTAAAGGGATAATTATTCCTCCTATTTCTTGAGCACTGATTACGGTGGACCTGCCTTCCACCTTATGATTCCTTAGTCACACAACTGACAGGCCAACTGGAATCTTACGTCTCCATACAGACTAGAGATTCTGTTCTCTCTCTCTCTCTCTCTCTCTCTCTCTCTCTCTCTCTCTTTTTTTTTTTTTTTTTTTGGTTTTTCGAGACAGGGTTTCTCTGTGTTGCCCTGGCTGTCCTGGAATTCACTCTGTAGACCAGGCTGGCCTCGAACTCAGAAATCTGCCTGCCTCTGCCTCCCAAGTGCTGGGATTAAAGGGTGTGCATCACCACCGCCCGGCGAGATTCTGTTCTCTTGATTGAAGAAAAAAGTTTCCCTCTTAATGGGCCTTGTAATATATGATTGTTAGGTCCAAAGTTCCCCTCCCACCCCCAATGGCAGTGCTAGTGACAAGGTCCTAAACTGAAAGCTTTAGGGAGGGGGAACAGAAGAATTGACCTACAGGTGGCTTCCTGTTTACCAGGAGCATCCCTTAAACCACCAGGAACCTCTCTTAATTGACCCCAAAGGTCAACAAGTCGGCTACCTTAGGCCTCAGCGGTCAGTTCTCATTCAATCCAAGCAACCTGCATCAACTCAAAGACCCCACCCTATTGACAAGAAATCTGCATTCTTTCCCATCATTTAGCTCTTCTCTCTGCCCCCAGACAGATAGTCTAAACAGTGTGATCTCCAACAAACCTTCCTTTCTCCCCTTGAAGCGGTCTAGTTAAGTGATTTCACTATACCCTGGCTTACAGCGATGGAGCTCAGTTGATTGTCTGTTGTGATTAAAATCGAAAGATAAGGGTCAGGAAGAAGCTCAGCGGGTAAAAGTGCTTGCCACTCAAGTCTGAGGACCTGAGTTCAATTCCTAGCACCTGTAATCCAGCGCACACACAATAATATGGGGGAGACAGGAGAACTGGCCCAAAGCCCACGGACTTGCTATCCTAGAGAGCACAGCACAGCTGTAGGAATGAGAAAGGCTTTGGGCTTTTCCCCTGCCTTGGGCTGGGGAAATGGCTCCACAGTTAAGATTGCTTAGGAGTTATGAGAAACTTGTGAGTTTGGTTCCTAGCAGCCATACTGGGCAGCTCTAGGGAATCCAACTGGTTCCTTTAGGCTTTCACAACCACCTGGACACACACACACACACACACACACACACACACACACACGAGTTGGGAGAGAGAGAGAGAGAGAGAGAGAGAGAGAGAGAGAGAGAGAGAGA